TTAACCAGTGAGCAGTACCCCTGGTTACATCTTCACATCCTACTGAGGGGCCAAGGGCTGTTGTAAATACCACTGCAGCATGGGCGGGTGGAGGGACGGAAACGCACACCACAGTGTGTTCAGCCAGCCGCTGGAGTCTGAGCTGCCTTTGGAAACTGCTAACACTTGTGTCTCTGCGGGAGAGCCGTGCACCACACTGACCAGCAGGCAGTTAAATGCGTGCAATGAATACATTGGCTACGTTGCCTTTTCCTTGTATTGAAAATTGTCGAGTATTTGGTTATATTTACAGTTATCTACGTGAAGATGTACCTGGCGGAGCTCAGGCCCTTGTCTTAAATCCGTGTCATTTTTCTTTGTTGAAATTGTTGCCTGGGGATGGGGAGGAGAGGGTCAGGCTGCCCTGGGGAGAGAGGCAGCAGCTTGGGACCAGGTGAGAAGCGCCTGTCTGTGGCCGCTGCAGTGGCACAGCCAGGGGATGGATGGACAGACAGGCAAATGCTCTAAAATATACAGTAGATAGCTGTGTTTTCTCCACCCCTGCCCTCTGCTGGCCCATGGAGTTCCCACAGCTGTCCCAGTCCCCCTTGCTGCCCCTTGTGGTAATTCTGCAGTATAACTGTCCCTCCGCCCAGAGCCCTCCCAGGGATGTGGAAGGTTAACCAGCAAGCATCACCATGAACCGGTAATTCTTGCTGGTTCTGGTTAACCAGCAGGGGCTGGAGCTCCTCTCCTGGGATGGCTTTGCTGTGGGCTCTGCAGTATAAAGCTTATTTACGCAGTTCCATGGTTACCTCCTTAAACACATTTTTATGTCCCTAGCCCCTCCCATTCCATTATACGAGAAGCAATCGAAATCCAGGCACATCCCATTGTGCGGCGCAAGCAAACCCTGACCCTGCTTCAAGCTATGATAAGAGGAAGCTGGCTGCCGAATTTGGTGTTCGTAGCTATTACCATTCAGGAGTTCTTAAGCCAACAGTCTCGTGGACGGACACGCAGACAGAGGCTGTCAGATACATAGTAGATTTAATTAATGTGTTTGGTGGAGTGGTCATGCGGCTCTTGTGGCTAATGGGTGCACACGTGGCACATGTATTACTGGACGAGATGGTCGCGATGGTCCCCTGGGGCCTTGGAATCTGAAAGGCGCCTGGGCCCCTCGCTAGTGGCGTTTTCACTGGCATTAACTAGTCTGCCTGGTAGCGTGAGTTCCCTCTCCCCTTGGTACCTCCTCAGCTGGCGAGTAGAGCCCAGAGCACGTCTTGTGACGTGGCATGCTGGCGTGTTCATTAGCGAGCGGTTAGCTGGTGGGACAGGCAGCTGTGAAGGGGCCAGGGTGGCTCTTGCTGAGGGTGGTGGGTGACTCATGTTAATTAGCAATCAGTTAAGTGGAGTTTAAAAAACTGACATCCCCAGCGGGGAGGAGGCTGGAGCTGCCACCTGCAGGCGCTGAGCTCAGTTTTGTGGGACTCCCAGTCCAGTGCCAGAGGCGGTGGCTACTAGTGTCAACTCACACGCTGGGGGCTCTGGCTGAGATTTCTCCCAAGTGTCCGGGGTTCCTGGGGATGCCTCGAGGGCGCGTCCCAAAAGTGCTCTGTGCATGAGGCTCCTTTCAGGCCTAGTCGCCTGGGAAAACCAGGGCTGCGGCTGGTCACGTGAGAATATTGCTCCCTGCCCTAGGCCATTGTGGGGGGGGGCGGCACTTTCTGTATTACCATCTGCCAATGAATACGTGGTTGAGTGACAACTCCCTCCAGGGCTGACGGTTACTTGGCGCCTGCCCCGAAGGGGTGAGGTCCTCAGTAGAGGAGGTTGGTCTCCCAGCCTGGAGAGGCCAAGGTCACCTCTCGGGTCTGTTGCGCCCCACAGATGGGGCTCATGGGTGTGGGCTGGGCTGAGGTCAAGGGCACTGTGCTCTGGGGGGAGGGGACTTGAGCACCCCATCCCCTAGTCCATGGATGACCCCACCCCCTTACCTTTGGAGTGTCCCTTATCCTGCCTTCCGCTTGTGGGAGCCTCCTTGATCCTGGGGGCAGCTTGTGTGTGGGCTGTCCCCCCTGCCCCAGCGTGGGTGGAACTCGAACCCACCACCCTACCTTCCCCAGGTGAGCACCCCATCCCCTAGTCCATGGATGACCCCACCCCCTTACCTTCAGGGCATCCCTTATCCCGCCTTCCTAATACGGGAGGGAGGAGTCTGTTCTGGCTCCTGGAGCCAAAACTCCTTCAAGGCCAGTGTGACTCTGACCCAGGCCTGAGCAAAATACAACCCCCAGGCCGGATCCAGCCCACCAAGCCACTGGAGGTAGTAGGGAGCCCCAGGCAGGCTCCCCTCCTTGCTCTGCAGCCCCACACACCTCTCAGCCCCGTTTCTGTTTCAAAACTGGAGGGGAGGGGCTGTTCTGGCTCCTGGAGCCAAAACTCCTTCAAGGCCAGTGTGACTCTGACCCAGGCCTGAGCAAAATACAACCCCCAGGCCGGATCCAGCCCACCAAGCCACTGGAGGTAGTAGGGAGCCCCAGGCAGGCTCCCCTCCTTGCTCTGCAGCCCCACACACCTCTCAGCCCCGTTTCTGTTTCAAAACTGGAGGGGAGGGGGGAAAACTTCAGGAGCTGCCCTGCCCCCAGCATGATTTCATTGGCCAGTTTCTGCCAAAAACTGGCCAATGGGAGCTGCCTGTTTGAATAACAGGCAGCCAAGAAGAACCACATCCCCAGCTGGGAGGGCAGGCTGGCTGGCTGGGAAACATTTTAAGCTCTGCAAGCCTTAGCTCTGCAGGCAGGCAGGCGAGTTTGTTGCTGGTCAGAGCCTGCCTCCGCACTCGATTTTCCAGAATAAGTGGCCAGTGTAGACACAGCCTTGGAGCCTGCTAGGCTGCCCACAGGAGCACCAGGCAGCCCTACAGTTGCTATAAACCAGATCGGTGCCGTGGCTTGGAGTGAGCCGTGTGGACATCCTGACCCGCGTTCAGTAAGTGTTGCCATTAGAACAGTAGCAGGCCTAGCACTGGGACCGAGCCAACCTTCCGAGAAATGAATTTCCGAGCCCTGTAGCCCTCTGCTCTTCCCCAGCCGTAGACCAGCGGGCAAGTGTCCGTTGCTGTGTCTTCCATCTCCAAGGCCATCACAGACCAATGCTGGTTCACCCTTTCTTCCCCCCCGGGTACTTGAGATCTGCTGATGGAAAGAGCTAGGACTCGTGATCCCCATTGTATGGGTGGGGAAACTGAGGCACAGAGCAGTGACTTGCCTGGGGTGACACAGTGGGCTGCTGGACGGAGCCCAGGAATCCTGTGCTCTAGCTGCCTGGCCCCTCGCATTGGAGCCACGTAGCTGAAACAATCCGTTTTGTGCACGTCCGACCACTGGGCTCCGTCTCTGGGCTCTGCAAAGCCCTGTGCCGATGTGGGGAGACAAGGGCCCCTTGCTGGTTCCTGAGATTTACACTCCAATCCAGATCAGTCCCAGCGGCAGTGGCCCCGGGTTTGCCCTGGCTTTGTGCTGCTGTGTCCCCTGCTGCGGCCTCCCTAGGGTGCTGTTCCCCGGAGGTCTGGGCGGGGCTTGGCTCAGTGCAAGTTGTTTGCTGTCCGCTGTTACAAACCAGGAAAGGACCCAGCGCAGCTGGCCCAGGCAAACCTCAACAACCAGCAAACCCAGGGCTCTGCCGTCACTGGGGCCTGGCGCTGAGCAGAGGGGCTGCGGTATTCAAGGGACTGCCTCCTGCGCTCCGGGGAGATCCCCGCGTGGCCCCCAGTACACAGAGGGTCTGGTACACGCCTGGCTATGGAATCGGGCTGCTTGGCGCCAGCTGCAGAGCCTCCTGCGTTCCCTTCTGGAGGGCTGGCCACGACCCAGGCGTTGCACTGTGACTGGTGCTGTCCCTTGGGGCCCTTGCCTGGGGCTGCAGAAGGGCCAACATGCAGCTGCTGCTTGTTCTCTGCTGACTGCCACAGGCCTGGAGCTGGAGTGCGCCAGGGCCTCGCGGTTCCTCTGGTCCCATGGCGGCGGCGTTGCCTCTGAGCATCCTGGCGTAGAAATGAAGCCAGAGGCAGCCCCTTGGGGCTCCCAGCTCGTGCGCTGGCGCACGTGAGCGTAGGTATGGGCGGGCCGTCCCCCCGAGGAGCATGGTCCCTGCTCCTTGGTAACTTGCCAAGGGCTGCGCCAACTTCCATACAATGCCATAGATTGCAGGTGCCTTCGCCTGCATGTTGCAGAGATGTGGCCTCGCAGGACTACAGGTCCCAGGATGCACTGCTTTCATGCCGAGAGATCATTGTCTATGGGAACCTCTGGGATCCCAGCCCCTCCGTGGGCACCTAGGAGCATGGTCCCTGCTCCTTGGTAACTTGCCAAGGGCTGCGCCAACTTCCATACAATGCCATAGATTGCAGGTGCCTTCGCCTGCATGTTGCAGAGATGTGGCCTCGCAGGACTACAGGTCCCAGGATGCACTGCTTTCATGCCGAGAGATCATTGTCTATGGGAACCTCTGGGATCCCAGCCCCTCCGTGGGCACCTGCACAACGTGCTCAGACTGGTGCCACCTTGGGCTGTGGAGCAGCCACTTCCCCCCCCCCCCCCCCCCCCCACCCCTCCCTCTGCAAACC